TTTTGTGGTGGTCTGAGGCTCTTGCTGTCTCAAAGGGGCAAGGCGTCATCGGTTGCTGGGGTGGGTGATCGTCTTAAGGCCCGAGCGAGTGGCTCAGCGGGAATGTAAACAGAGGGGCAGATCAATTGGGCGGTGCGCCGTGCCGTCGATATTAGTAAAGGCGTCGTTGCATCGCGAAACTCTCAAGTCTCTGCGCTTTCACACGAGTCTAAATGTATAGAAGTCGTCATTGTCTGCTCAAATTCCCTCCGAACCTCAGGTATTGTCTATCTTACGCATACGAGGCAACTCAACCAACTTGTGCCAGTAGCCGGTCAGTAGCCCTACCCCTCCATGACGCCGGAATCTGTCCCATGTAGCACGGCGCCCAGCTCCGGAGCGACCACCACCGCTGAATGCTTCCACAGCTTATCATCAACGCAAGGGTATTTCCATACCAACCGACACCACAAGTCCATCATTCCGCGCTCGCCTCCTTAGCGTTCGTAGTAATCATCTTGCTGCTGTTGCCTTTCCTCCTGGACGCCGCCCTCGGTGCCGGCCTCGCCATGAACGTGATGCTGGATGCCCCAGAACTGCTCTCGCTCCTTCAGCAGCGCATCCGCCCATTCCTTGGTTTCGGGCAATATGAATTTGGTTGCAACGTAGGCAAATTCGCCCAAATCGAGTTTGCCCTGGCCACGTTTCTCATACTCAATCATCTGGAGAAGCAGCTCCATCTTGTCCAGATCGTGTACGTAGTGACTGTTCAGAGTCTGGGAGTCCTCGTACTCTTGCCAGATCTCGCGGATCTCGGCCCCCGGGATCCCACCGTAGACGCTACCGAGCAGGTTATTCGTAATGTAGTCCATCGTCTCGGCCTCGCGCCTGTTCTTCTCGGACTTCGGGACGCCATCGACGGGCGTGATGTCTCCAACCAGAGACTCGGCCATATCGTGGATCAGGCACATCTTCATGCATCGCGCGAGGTCGAGACGGGGTGCAAGAGCGGGCGGGGCGAGCATCGACAGGAGTGACATGCGATACATGTGGTCGGCGATGGACTCTCCTCTGTGTAGGTCCAGGCATTAGCGGATGCCAAAACATACATCGTATATCTTGCGACTGAGGGGACAGAATACCTTGCGATGCCGAAGCGGCGCCAACCCTCACGCTTTGTGGTCTTCAGGCGCTCAATCAGGTGGAAGTACGGGAGCGGTGAGCCGGCCTCTGTAGGTGCTGCGGTCCCTGGAGAGATTCCCAAAGCCTTCTCCACGGTCCATGTTCCCTCGACCTTGGGAGTCTCGACGTGGCCCAAGTCTGCGCAGAAAAATCAGCAAAGGGTGGCAAGGGAGAAGCCGCGACGGCCAGGTAACATACCCTCAATGTTCACCTGGCCATTGGCACTGGAAGCACTATTCGTGCCGTTTAGACCTGCAGGGGACATGATTGGAAAAACGATTGTATTTGTAACAGTCGCAGCGCGTCTTGTCTCGTTTGTCGGAGTAGGAGAAAAGCGACAGATCAGGTTCGTCGTGAAGCGGGGCAAGACACGCAGAGTGGAGGGAGAAAGGCCAACGAAGCAAGGCAATTATCGCGGGGTCTGTTGCTAGCGCGAAGTGACGGATTCAGCCCAATGCAAGATCACTAGCGCTAAGGTGAAAGAAAGGACAAGAAGCGAAAAGGAAGCAACAGGCCTGACTGTTATCAGAATTCGGGGCCGTAGCAAAAGGGGTCCTTCCTGCTTGTGTTTGTCCGTCGCCTTCATCTTCGGAGGAAGGGTCATCCCAGCTTGATGTCACTGCCATCACAGGCAGCTGCGACTGCATGCAGCTAGCCGCGAGCTTGGCCCCACACGCACCCTGCAACCATTCAGCGGCCCGCCATTTATGATCCTTATTCCCGTCTATTAGAAAACCTCTAAGAAACACGGTAGCCCGCAGACATGCATGATGATACCTAGACATGCACGAGATGGCTTCTGACTTAAGGTACACTCACCTTCAATTCTTTTCTCAAATTCTTCGCCGGATTATTGTTTCAACATTAAAAGTAGCCCCGTAATGGACACGGGACGATGGCATCGTTGTTGAGGTAGGTACGACTAACTATTCGTAGAGTACCTCCGCCAAGGTACGAAGAACTTACAAATCGTAGGCCGGAATATCCACCGTGCTGTTTGCTTCCAATGCCTCTTTGATCGCTTGGCAAACAATTAATGCAGCAAGGCCTGCCTGCGCTGAACAGCTAGGCGATTCTTTGCCCCGGATAACACGGCAGAAATGTGCAAGCTGCAGCTCAAACGGGATCCCGTCTTCTACCGTCAAGTTCTTTCTTGCCATCTCTGAGTGCCACGTCTTGCTTGTGCCCCTGTACGACCAGATCGACAAGTCAGGTACGCTGAGTGTTCCTTCAGAGCCAAATATGTGGTAAAAGTTCTGCCCCGTCTTGGGAATCAGCGGGTTCTCCCCCGTCCCTGCCTCAAAGTTGTAGGGCGATGGGACGTTGTCCGAGACGAGAAACGTGCCGACAACGCCTGATTTGAACCGAATTGTAAGAGCGGCACCTTCTTCAGCTTCATGACCTCGCTGCGAGGTAGTCTTCTCCGCATGGATTCTTGTGATTGGTCCTAGAAGATGATGTAACAGGTCGATTTCGTGGGTTGCGTTGATAAGGACGGCTCCTCCATCTTTTCCCTGTCTCCACTCGGTGGGGGCCTCAAAGTAATCACCGGGCTTGAAAGTTGTCCAAAGCCCGCTGATAGCTATGATCTTGCCAAGAGAGCCCGATTCGAGCACTTTCTTTGTACTGATGATGTAGGGGTTGAATCGTCGATGATGCCCGATGAGTATCTTGACTCTGGTGGCTTGGAGATGACTCAGTAAATCAGTGCCGCTAGTGATGTTGGAGCAGATGGGCTTCTCGATCAGCACATGGACACCACTGGAAGAAAGCTGCTTAGACACAGCGACATGCGTATGGTTTGGAGTGCAAATAATTGCAGCTTGTGGTAAATGTTTCGATTGCAAGAGGTCATCAACGGAATCGTAGTGTGCCACGTTCAGCTCAGCTCCCAGTAGGCCTCCAGCTGGCGTGGGATCGACCACTGCAACAAGCTCTGCTAAGGAGCTCTGTAGGACATTCCTGGCATGTCTCGGGCCGATCAGACCGGTGCCAATAATAGCAAAGGAGATTGTGTCTTTGGAACTCGCCATGTTGGGACAACTTATGGTTGGGAAAATAAGGTGCCAGGAGGTCAGTTTCCTACGAGCGAGTACGAGACCCGCATAATGAGAGGTCAAGTAGACAAGGACAGATACTCGAGTAAAGGTTTCAAAACTCTCTCAGAGACGCCGAAGTTTTGCTCCATTCTTGTCGTGGATCAATGTGGGAAAAATCTGAGTGTCCTATAAATCAGAGTCCGCGACATTGAATAACCGGCTTAGTGCCGAGGCGGAATTGTATTTACCCTAAGGTACCGTTCAATTGAGAGTCTCCAACAGCTGGCCCACTGCAAACGGCAAATATATCATCCTCGGAGGTTGTGAACAAGGCAAGCCTAAGCCTGACGTGACTGGGTAAGGTCTGCACCCCGCATGGCCAAGCGTCGTTTGGTTGAACCCCGCATTCCCCAGCTCTTTGCGGGGAAGAATTCTAGAATAAAAGCTACTTGCGTGTGTTTGCAAGTCGGCGGCCTCGGGCCTTGAATTATCGATCGGTGTTTTGTTCGCTTGAGATCCTTCATTCCGCCGCCGATTATCACAGTTGACTGAGTCCCTTATCTACAGACAATATTGAAGATAACTTTTGTGTCGGAGGGGGTATTCATGCCAGAAAGCCCTTCCAATTCACGGTTTGTCAATCGCCTGATTTCAGACTACAGATTGTGATCTAGCATATCCTCCCTTTCATAGTTAACATACGGTCATAAATCCATTCGGATGATTAAGAAGAATCCAATCATCGATAGGGTTAGCATCCACAATAGAAGACGTTACAAGTGAGTGAAAAGATAAGTAAACAGCATTCCCATCAAAGTCAAATTTCCGGCATCATTGAGAAGGAGGATGTTGCACCATGGCTCGGAACAATTTTGAACCGGGAAGTAGTTGATTACAGGGTAGTTGGGAAGCATTTCAACGGGAAGACAACACCTGCCTTATCTGTCAGGACATAAATACTATCTAGTAGCGATTGGATCCTCGATTGAGGTTGTTGGCGTGATATCCATGGTTCTACATATCATCTCTATAAGTATGTGTACCCATGCGCAGCCTACATGTAAGATGTGCTATCATTTTTTTTTTCCACCTCTCTTATTTCCTTCGAAAGGTTCAATTCGACAACATCCGAAGTTTTTAGGTCGTATTTGGTATGTCCTAGCTTCCAAGTTCTAAGTCCTAGCTTTAGAACGACATGCGTTGCGACAATGTTTAGTCTAGTGAATATTGAACGCCATTGCAAGCTGGACATCTGAAGCACTTTCCGTTAGCGCTCACTGTACATCAACACGAACTCCGATCCTTTACTAACTCCAATGAAAAGGGATCGTGGGATCGAACGGAAAATGGTCGTGTGCCCAGATGAACGATGACGCACCCACCAAACAGAATCAACGAGTGTGAGGGGAAATTATGGGTCTCCAAAAGGGCCGGGCCTTGTTTACCATACAACGGACGAGGGGTTCAGTGGTGCAATGGGACGAATGATTGCTGGTGCTCGGGCTCTTGTCGTATGTCGCATGTAAAAGAGGGGCGGGCAGAGCGCTGAGGAAGAATGGTATAAGAGGGTGGCCAGTATCTCCTAGACACCAGACGATTATCTTCTTGGCCGACTCTCTTCCTGACGATTCTACTGCTTCCAGGTCTGGGACTCTTTTGCCAATATGCGGTTGTTTGCTGCTCTCCTTGCAGCAGCAGCACTGCTACCACCAGTTGTGATTACCGACTCTAACAGCGAAAGTGGCCAAGGCCCCCAGTTCTACAATTCGGCGCGTCATGCAGCCGCGGACCCTTATGTTTTTTACGACTCCGAAAAAGGCCAGTATTATGCGTATTCCACCGAAGGAGCCGACGAGGGTTACCACTTTGCTGTCTACATCAGCCCGGACCTTTCAACATGGCGTAAACACCCCGGCGGTGTGTTGAAAGCTTGCTATGATGATCAGATGAAACGGGTAGATGGCGGCCAAGCATGCTGGGCCCGAGATTGGTATTGGGCCCCTGAAACCTACTACAACGAGAGAACGGGATGGTATTTTTCTATTTTCGCTGGTCGTTTACGAGAAGATTTGGCCAAGGACCATTTCCGATACTCCAAGTTCGAGGAGCCGTCTAAGCTAGGAATCGCGGTCTCACGTTCGCCCACCGGCCCATTCAATGAGATTCGGCCAGAGCCAATTGGCTATTACCCATATGATCCAGATTATTATGATATCAATCTCATCATGGATGATCAGCAAATGCTACCCCCAGAGAGTCTCGACAAGGGACAAGCTGCGCCAAAGGGGACATATATACCGACTATCGATCCAAATATTTTCTTTGACAACGATGGCCGGATTTACTTGTACACGTCGCGAAACGCCTACCGAAACTGGAACTGGGACATTTCTCTAGGGAAATACATCGAAGAATCAAATATTATTGTGGTTGAGCTGGACCGAAAGTGGTGGGATGACCCCTTTGCGCGAACGATGCCGGAGATTGCGTCTTCTCAAGTCGACCTGCATGCAAACAATGCCACTCAACTACCATCCAACATCACCTCCTACAACGGCACGGGAGAAATCGGGAATCCTCCACGTAAAGACGGCTGGAAAACGGTCATTTCATATGGTGCCGATCCGCAAGACTGGGAAAATTTCCACGTGGACGATTACACCAAATTCAATGGTACCAAGAAGAATCGTCGCTGGTCGGAAGGCAGCACAGTTATCACACGGAAAAGCCGTGAGGAGAGGTCGATATACTTGTTGACGTATAGTGCCAACAACTATGAAGCTTCAAACTACGGCGTTGGGTTTGCCACAGCAGAAACCCCTCTGGGTCCCTTTCGGAAATCCTCGAAAAACCCTGTTCTCTCTCAAGCACCTGATGGGGAGATTCCCATCTACTCAACAGGCCACGGAAGTATTGTTGCATCGCCTCCTCCTAATAACCGAGCCAAATTGGGCGCACAAGAGGTTACGCGAAGAAGTTTGAATGGTACAGAGCTATTCTATGTGCACCATGCACGAAATGACACAACGAGGGATCGCTCTATCTACACAACACGCATGAGTCTCAATGACTCTGCAATGTTTGCCGGGTCCGACAATGCTATCAGCATGAGCCTAACGCCACTCGACCAGCCACTTCCTGAAAACACCTACCCAATCAAGTTTCAAGTTAGTTGCTCCAGCGATCGAAGCTCTGGCGCTCGATTTGAAGTTCGCGTCGTATCAAAGGTCGGCGCTCCCTTTGATCTCACAGAGGGATCAAACAGGGTCGTTTCTATTCCTGGTGCTATAGAGGCAACCTCTATAGAGGCTGTGAAGAGGCGGGACGGCGGGTACATCCTATCCTTTAGTGATGGTTCCGTAAAGGAGCTGGCCTATCAACGATTGGGCGTTGAAAACAATTGGACTACGGTCAAAAGCAAAGAAATTAGGTGTAAGACAACACAGCGTCGTTTCTTGACGCAAGTATGAAGGGGAATATTAATGAGAACTAGATGGAACTCAAACAACGTCTATCTAGGAGTGATCCAGAAAGCGCCGGCACTTACAGCAACGCCATATTCTAGAGAGAGCATCCACGGCAGGTAAACAAAGAAAGGGCAGGTGTCTTGACTTTTCAACTTTCTTCACAGTGTATAATTATCATGAAATTAGGCTATTTGTTCGAACCCAAATCATGACAGCATTATTGTAAAGCGTTGCAAAATGTCTTCTCAATAAAAGCAACCAGTCCGGGAGGAGAGGAGCGCCTTCACCGATACAAGGCAGAGTGTACTTATTCTAGCATTATAGACCAGACTAGGGCTAGCCACAACAGTTGATTACAGCTATCAATAAATATGAAATCTAAGGACCAGACCCGTGATATAATAATCGTCAGATCAACCTGGATAATGAAGTTTTGACCGAATTACGTGATCTTATCACACTCAAATAATCAAACAATCAAACAAACAAAGAAGCTGACAGGCCCCTGGCTGGGTAGACGGTGTGGTCGAAAGAGCCTCCACGGCAATACGTAGAAACAATCCGGTAGCCAGAAGCGCCGCTGCTGGACTTCAGATAAGCGAACTCTATTGGCGAAGACGGGGAGGAATCAAGGAAACTCACGCAATACCCCAGCGGTGGTAAGTACGAACATCCCAAGTGTCGTAGATCCCCTCACGAGCGCAAAATTGTTTTATTACTGCCGCAAGCATAATGTTCTCCGAGGATGACTTCTTCAGCAGGCCAACAGTACAGATCGTTGGCATCAAGAGGGTGATGTAAAGCCCAACACTGTTCACTACCAGATCAGGCTGCTAAAGGGTAGAGAAGTCGTTGATCACGATATCCTCTGGCCACGCAGGATTGGCTTGAGGCGCAGGAGCAATTTCTGACCGCGGTGCTGAGAAGAACAAGTGTGAGAGCTGTAAAGCACGTCGTGTTCTAGCTCTGAGCGATCAACTTCTAAACCAAAATGGATCTGGGGTAGGGCGCACCCTACAGAGCTTTGAAAACACTTTATTGGAGAAATCAAGATGTTATGAATATCGATATTGCATGTATTCAATAAATATGAAACGGCCAGAAGCAACCTTCTATACCCAAGTTTCATTGTCGGCCGGGCCAGTAGTCGGCATGCCCGTCCAAACGAGACATTGTAGAAAATAGAGGCTACGTCATGGGGGCTCCCCAACCACGTTAGGATAGTGACGCAAGTTCGGATTATGTATTACGACTCGTTACATTCCGAAAGCTCTCGAAGCCGAAATGTCTTGGGAAACGCTGTCTCGCCATTGAAAATTCGTGAACAATCCAAAGTGGGACTCGATGAAGCGTACTTCCGTTCTATCCGCCTCTTCGTACTATTTTGTCCGCAGCTCTTGATTCGTTCGTGGGTACGAGCACTCCGAAGCGACCTAACCTCTCAGTGACAGGCAAAGCTAAACATACAAGACACAGAGTAGTAGGAGGGGTAGCTGACTGGGAATTGAATTATGGCTGCCCCGTGGAACCTTAGTCTTCAGTTATCTATGCCATAACCAATTTCACCCAATCCATAAAAGAGGGGTTAGCCTCAAATCTCGTGCTTCAACGACTGGAGCTTTAATCATTAAGCCTTGGCTCGATAATATGCAAAGACGTTGCAGAATTATTGTAATGCAACTGAGAATGCGCTTTATAAACTGTCAAACCGTGATTTGACTTGTTGTTCTTTGCTACCTAGGGATGCCCAGGAGAAGCACATCTAGGCTGGGGCTCCTGCTCTTTGAATCACAAAGACCGAATGAATTTCACACGATCATAAACGCGTTGGGCAAAGTTTAATCATGTCATTATAATAGAAAGGCATTCTGAATACGGGCCAAATGTATTGAAGCTCATCTTCTGGGCTTAGCTTGGTTATATTGGCTGTATCACAAGCAGCTGTCGCTTACTCAGGACCACATTGGCAGTATGAAACTTCATTGGAACCAAACAAGCGGTACTACTTACCCAAGGTGCATGACTAGACGTCTGTCGTCATGAAAAAAGACGTACGCTGCCTCATGTTTGAGAGTTGGGTTTCGTCGATAAACAGAGCTTGGCTAAACATTACTCAAAGCTTCAAAGCCTCAGAGCCTGAAAGGTGGTTTTCAAGGTCAGGTAGGCAGCACGTTCCAGGCCAAGAGCGATGCCAGAGAAAGTTACTGATTCCTACCATGATTCCTCAGAAACGGTTCGACTGTTTTGTCGTTATTATGCATCAATTGCAATCTGTTAGGTGGCGCATATACTAGTCTTCCATCTCAAGCATATTTCGCTACCGCTCAATGTCGTGAATTGAATCGAGCTGTAAACCTTCTACATGGAAAGTATTTTACTTCTACCCACTCAATAAAGATTAATCGGCACAATCTGTAAAATATTCAATGTTTGTTATCACTATTTAGACGAAACGGCTTTGGATTTCTATGGAACTTAGAGAGTTCCGATGTAGGAGGGTACTGCAGTACGAATATCGTCCCAAAAGCCGATGATGTGGCTTTAGACGATTTGGCGCCTGGCGACATGTTGAATTGGCAGATGACGAATAATGAAGAGCCAAAAAGCATAGAATTTTGTAATCGAGTCATTGGTGAATCTGATTGTGAACACACTGCTTCTGCTGCAGCAATTTGATGACAGAGTCATCCATCAAATGGGATCGCTGCTAATTAACGAGAAACCCGCTGGGAGGATTTTGAAGTCTAAGTCTGTTATAGTCACGCTCTACCAGCTCAACTTTCTTGGGCTTCCACGTGGAAATATCCGATTCGCCAATTTGTCAATTCTTTATGTTATCATCGATCTATCCGCGTTCCATCCTTCTCTCAACCCGAATCGCTTTCCGGGGTTAGCTAAGCCAGGGAACTATTGGAAGTTGCTTTCCGATAACGGGGTCAAGTCTAGTGCCAGATTCTGCCTGGGACTGGATTCTGCTACTCCTAACAAAGCTAAATACAAAGAGCAGTTGATGGCAGCGCCATTTTGGCAACTGCTGTAAGTTTGTCTCGATTACTCGGAGCTTTCGTTAAGTCTGTAACATCTTCTTTTTGGCACTGAAGAGGAAATGTGCTGCAACCTTATAGAAATGGAGAAGCTGATAAGCTCTCGCGGGTTGCGTATATCTTAGTTCTCGCGCCGAGCTCGACGCCCGCCTAATACTTATGTATGGATGAGGATGATGTAAGAAAGCATTAAAACCTTTCATCAAGAACTACACTAACTACACATGATCAGAAAATTTGCCACAAGCGAAGCTCACACTACCGCCCCGACTTCTTTCTGGCACATCGTTATTAAGGCCAGCTCAACCAAGTGGAGAGTCTCTGCTGACGATCTATCCAGAAATGGCTATTGGAACTTCTGTTCACTTGGAAGCTTTTCAGCTTCCACTGGATCTTTCGCTGCCAATCACATCAAGAATGATGCGCCTCATGCCGCCAAAGACTTCAATCTCGCACGCTCAATACAAAATCTAGAGGCCATGTGTATGTAGATATCCGGCGTACCCTGATCTTATTAGAGGCCATCGACCCAGGTTACACGACTAGATGTACCATCTTACGCCGATGGGTAAGCACCCTGACGCTATTAAGATGAAAGCACAGCAGCCAAAGGCATCCTACCTTAAGAAGCTGAGGGCAAGATATCAGAATCCACGAGAACAAGAGTTGGATGTCAAAAAGCCTCATATACACATGATTTGGGCCCTGGGTCCGGCTCTGATGATTTATTCCCATCTGCATAGCTCCACAGAGCGCAAAAAAAGTCCGGCTGGAAAGGTCACTTGGTGGCGAGGAGATATTCTCACCAAGTTCAGGGAAATCAACATGCCGATAGAAAGATATCAAGACGTTTAACGTGTCTCTGCAGGGTGACAGGTCGCTGGCCAGTACCACGGTGAAGCAGAAGCAATTACTTGCGACTCATAATAAATAAGCAACAAGCTGGATATAATCTTGCATGGAATTAGACTACGAGAAGCCACCTATGGACATTTATAGAAGTACTGAACACCAAATACCAGCACAATACATATGAAAACTTTATATGAAGAATTGACACCGGAAATTCTGTATAAGGAATTCCTACCTGCAGGTCAATTTGAAAAGGTTTCTCCAGCGAGTGATCTACTTCCTAATGTAATTTTTTGGTGAAGCACCAGGTCATCAAACGATTGAGAGTAAAATAGGATTCGTCTTTACCACTTAATAACGACGTCACTTTATCAATAGATACTTGGCATAGATTAAACCCCGGGAGTCACCACCTAACCATGCTTCTAATGAAGCTCACGGACATTCCTGGTGAAGTCGTCATCGTCAAGCTTTTTGGCGTTGTTACCGCCGCCGGTCAATTCGAATACTGGCGATCAAATTTGTCAGCAAACTCAGAGAAAATTGAATAGAGTAAAGGAATAGCACAAGGCGGAATGGAACGAAAGAAAGGAGATGTGTTACAATCCACTGGAGTGGTCGCGAATTGACGAGCCGGAGTCCTCTTCTGGAACAGGTAGTCGAGCTCTGCAAAAGTACGATTCTTACTCTCGGGGAGAAAGAAGAAAATCAATACCGCCCAGAGGCAGCAAAGTCCGAAGTAAAACAGTCCAGTCTTAGCACCCCAGTTCCAAGAGTCACTGCTAGAATTAAGCATGCGTGGATTGAGCTGCTGCACAACAATTTGGCCAACGACGTAAATGGCGCGCCCAAGAACAATAGTCTGGGCCCGAACACGACTCGAGGACATCTCGCCCACAATGGTGTACGTTGTCGGGCCCAGTGAGAGCTTAAAGGTCAGATTGACGATAATCATGACCACAGCCACAGCCAGAGCAACGTTGGTCTTCCCCGGGACGAAACCTAGGATGCCAATGACGAGCATGAGGAGACCGATGATTGATGAACCCCAGAAGAAGAAGACGCGACGCCCAACCCTGCCCATCAGTGAAATGGCAATTGCAGTGCCTACGATGTTTCCCGACTGGATGCCCATACTGAAGTCAAAGGCTCGAACCTCTGGCATGCCGGCTGATTGTAAGAAGATCGTAGCATAGGCGCAAATAGCCTGGCCATTGAGAATTTGAATAAGCCAGGCCATGGCCACGATGCCTGTGCGGCGCAAGTTGGTTCCGTGGAAACAATCGCGGTAACTAGCACCAGCTGACTCGATCTTCTCCATCTCATTGGTGTGTCTCATTAGAGCCAAAGTCTGGGCCATGGTCTGTTCGGTGTAAAAGTTCTTGCGAGCAAGACGGCGTAGGGATTTCTCAGCTTCGTCGATGCGACCACGGCGAACGAGATACCAAGGACTTTCTGGGGCAAGAAAGCCAACAGCAAACAAGGGAACGACCCAAACCCATTGGAGGGCGTAAGGAATTTTCCATGCCAGGTCTCCTGGAAGACCCAGGGAGCCACGAAGAACGCCGGCGGCAAGGAATGAGCCACAACCCCAGCACATGGAGACCCAAGCCGTGAGATACCCCCGCATGGCGGCAGGGCAGATCTCAGCGGCGTAGGCGGTGGTGAGGGTCTGGAAGATACCCCAGGGAACGCCGCACAAGATGTTCGCTGCAAAGAGCATTTGGACGTTGACTGCAAAGAATAGACAGAAGATTGTGGCGCCCATGACGGTCATGGCACCCATGTAAACTTTTCGGGAGCCGTAGCGGGACTGCAGCCAGCCGTTCAGAAGCAGGCCGATGATGCTACCCAAGTTGTTGCCGTTGCCAATGGCGGCCTGCCATGAAGTGGGAATGTGTTGCTTGCCGTTCGCGTCTGGCCAGCCAAATCTCCTCAAATACGCTTTTTGGCCGAAGAAGTTGTTGACAAGACCGACGTCCATACCCTCCATGATTAGGGCCATGCTGAGAAGCATACTATAGATGGCAGCTGGCAGATATCGTGACACAAGCTCTTTGCGAGGTAGCCTGGTTTCTTCTTCGCTGGCGGCTGCGGCAGCTTGAATAAGAGCGATGTCGGGAGCATATGCTCCATATTCAGCGTGATCGACGGACCTGGACCTGGCCTTTATCATTTTTTCGGGAATACCCTGTTCTTCGGCGGCGATAGTGACAATCGTGTTGTATTGGGTGAAAATCTTGATAATGATGACGGCGTAAGGTCATTTGATAGAGAGAAGAAAGAGAAGTTCGAGTGAACAGAAGAGCGGAATGAGGAGGGGAAAAGCACTGGCTTCAACGAATGTATAACAACAGCGGACTGAGCTGTCTACTGCCAAGATACCAAGAAAGCGTCCCCCGACCACCTGCCATCAATTCTAGGATTATTCGCGCAAACTCAACCCCGAGTTTCGATTTCACGAACTCCACTCCCCCACACTGTCCCCATGGGGTTCGGAAGCCTCTACTTTGGGAAGCGCAAACGACGCGGGGGCAGAGCATGACATTTTGGGGTATCCTTCGACCGAGCACGAAAGTCAATTGCATTCCCTTGAGCTACTAGGCCATGTGCCTTGGTGGCACTGAGGAGTCTGCCAAGATCTTACTCTATTGGCCTAATCTGCCTTTGAATTTGTGTGCTGCAGCGCGCTCGTTTTCGAAAAGAATGCTGGATAATAAAACCGAAAGCTGAATATTTTGCTGACTATATCTTGGTTGCATATAATAACTCGACACAACGATGTAGAATTAATAATTACGGCGGTAGAGTGGATTTTTCAAGCATCTTTCATCACGCGGGAACGTGTTTAAATCATAGGAACGACAGATGTCCTCAATGTTGGTTTGAAACCTTTAGAACTGCTCTTTCATAGCCTCGACGACTTCTCATGTTACCTTGTCTTGCGATTAAACGAAAAGAGTCTGGTCATCTCTTCATTGAGATCGCCTATGGCAGCGCCCTTTCTTGGCTCCGGGGCTCAGAAGTCGCTTGCGCACCAGCTGCAATTTTACGTCGGGCTCACACACTTGATTCGGGTTAGCCTACCGGAGTCGCTGTCAGATGGCCCGAGGTTCAAATGAGGAAGGACTCAGTACGATACTTGTACTGTATGGGGTATCCTGACTCATGTTTGTGATGACTGATGAGAAGACGAGATATGACGTGAAATCAAAGCTGATCCTCCAGAACTAAAAGGCGGACAACGAATGACTTGGCTTCGAAGCCCTCGGCCTAGCCGTTATCTTCCTATTTGCCTGATGCACCTCCAGCCTAGGGACTTTTGCTTAGGGTAACTCCGGGGTAGGAGGGACCTTTCCGAAGTTCTAGTTAATACTTCTTTCGATACGGACAGTCATTACCCTTTATAATATTATCATCGCTATATCCTTTTGGCATACAGTCAGACTTAGATTAGTTGTTCATGGCGTGCCTAGTGAAGTTTCATACGTCTTCTGTCCAATGTGCGAAGTAAGTTTGGCACCAATCGACCAGCCAGCTGCGAGATTTTCATTTTAGCTTTCAAATCTTGGTGTATCGGGGCAGGCTGACAACGACCAGGCACAAGACCGCGGCACAGCACTTTATTTGGATGGAGATGGTGCGAAATCCCTTGCTTGCTTCTAGGCGAAGGCACACGTCGGTCGACTTCGGCCGAAGCCAAGGCACGAAGCAGTTTGCCCAGCCTTGGTAAAAGCCACCAAGTCTTGATTCCACCACTAGAATTTCATCTGCGCTGGCGTCACCCACACAAATCAAATTGGGAGATCTGATTCTCGCCTTATTGAATGATCCTCTCAACTTTGTGTACGGCGGAGCCTGTGCGACTGGATTTCGCAATTCTCTTTGGTTCCTAGTTCCAACACCCCCTTTTCCAGTCCTCTGCTGGTACCTAAAATAGCATCCCATATAGCTTAGCACGCCAAAGAGCATTGACTTCCATCTAACCTCTCCCCACTGCTATCGCGATCTTACACCATGGACAACAATCCCTACAAATTCAAATCACCGTTATCCATAGAAGTTAAATATTTAATTTTCAAGCTAGACTCTAAAGTAGCCAAGCTATTGTCCTGATTTACTAGCCAGCACTTCATTAAGTCTCCACTGTACTAAAGATGTATTACACAAATTACGCAAATTTATAGATATACCGACATCATAAGCCGAGTCTTATTCACTACCAGCTTTCCCTCGACATGAAACTCTCGCTGCTTTCCACGCCAGGCTGCTATAGACCTTCAACAGGGCGCTCTTTGTTCTCCGCCATGAGGCAGAAGTCGGAATGAGTATCTAAATATATACCCATTCTACGGCTGGATATCACTGTCATGTTAGTACAGTAGAAACTGCGGGCGCAGTCAGCGAAGGTGACGGTTAATGGAATTAGAATGATGGGGAGTCGTTACCCCTATTGCAAGTAGAGAGCCGACGTTTTGGGTTGGTACGTTTGAATAGAGCCGAGGCCGTGGCGTCGGAGTGGAAGCAAAGGATGGCTGGGCAAGTTGAGGAGAGAATAACTTTAAACTTGTTCTTTCCGAGGCGGAGTCGGCCGGCCTTTAAGAGAAGCGATTGGGCAGGGAAGACCGCCTGAGTATTGGGTGAGGGGATGGTCTGGGTTGATTTCCTAAGCATGCCAAAGGCGGCTTCCGTTAATTGGTATCTGTTCTCAATAGTGTTTAATTATTAGAATAGTGGTAGGCTGCTATTGGTAAGGGGTGGGCCTGGCACTAGTGAAATAATTTTTTGACACGCACCTCCGTATAAGGTTTGAGCATCTTTTCCCATCCGATCCAATGCGAAAAGTGGCTTAATATAAGAGAGTTCGAGTCGGTTTGTTTCTGATTTATTACATTGAGAGGCTCAACATAGGAGGGTTGGAGGGATTTTCCATTTAATTTATTGTGGGAAGTTGTCTCATCGCTTAAGGCGTGAGCATTCTTAACTTTGAGTATTGGTCCAGCATTGGCCTTGTGACGCTACCATTGATTCAGAGAAATTGCATCTATTCTTGAAGCTACTAGTTAAACCTACAGCTCCACTGCGCCTTTCTTTAAGTTCAATTAACCCGCCGTTCGCAAAGAAGGACACGTCGAGGTAACCCTTATAAAGACTGACTTAATTCCTCAAATCGCCACATCTATGTAACATCTTGCGAGAAGCAAACCTCAACGATGCAAATAGTCTATTACCGCCTACGAATCACCTATCTCAAATGACACCAATTCTACATAAACCGAGATTAGTAGTCAGCGTAGTCTTACTAGTCACAATTGCCTTCCTGATACTCGTGGAGAGAAGAACGCGTTATCAGCCTATATCGTCGGTTACTGGAACTCTACGGCAAAAAGACAATATCCCGAATCAAGTACATTTTGTCTGGGCCCTTTATGACGAAAGTGCGGAGCTGAGATTCTCATTCGAACAATACCTTTCTATGTACTCGGCCTGGTACTATTTCAAACCACATACGATCTACCTTCACACTAATGCGGACGACGAAAAGCTCGAATGCGCTCGGAACGGGACGTATGGAAGATGGGCCATGCACATGTTTGCAATACCCGGTCTGAAGGTCAACTGGATGGAGGCTCCCCACGAGACGAACCTTGGGGTTAAATTAACCTTCAAAGAGCACATATCAGACTTTATGAGAGTTAAGGCTGTCCACGATTTTGGTGGTGTGTACGTGGACTTCGACGTGCAGGCGTTACGAGATGTTGCTGGGCTGCGGACAAGTGGGTTCAACGCCATCGGAGGTCGACAGCTAAATCATGAAATGAATAGCGGCACATTCATGTCAAAAAAGGGTGGTAAGATGGTCAAGCTTTGGATGGAAAATATGCACAAGGTCTATAATGGCGGCTGGACGACGCACAGCAACTGGTGCTTGACTAAAGTTGCAGAAAGCTTGGTTCAAGAGCCTGGTGAAGTCCTCATTTTGGACAGACAGGCTTTCGCTCCCATTGGCTGGAACGCGGAGGACGCTGTTCAATTATTCGGCTTGCATAACAAGTCTACAAGCTTGGAAGAAGGCGCGACCGATTTGCAGTCGCGCTCCGACGATGAGCACGTAATCAATTGGCAAGTAGACCGGCCGTCGTGGCCGTATGATTGGTCGGCGTCGTATCTTCTGCATTCGTTTACTCCGGACTGGAATGTGGTGCCTGTTGAGGGAGTCTACGACATCTCTCCGCACTACGTCTGGGAACGTAGAAGTAACTACGCACAAGCGACCTACACAGTAGTAAAAGACATGTATTTAAAGGGTATCTTGTCTCCTGAAGATATTGAGTAATAAAGGAAACGGAGAACGAATGAACGGAGAGGTATTAGGTCTGAGGTGTTACGGTCAGGTTCCTGGCTGTATTTTTTGTGTTAGTAAAAGTTGGGGTCGTTACTTGGAATAGTGGTCTTGGCCGCCTGTAAGCATTCTGAGGGTGTGTTCCTGTCCTAGGATTTGGGGATTGAGTCTTTAGTATTTAACCAAAGGCTTGCGGAGAGAAAGGTAGTAAAGGCTTCCTAGCCCTTGTGCCGACCGCTATCGACCAGCGGCAGTAGCGGCGGCTGCCCCCTTTAACGCCTTTAAAACCGCACGCCCGCGTTCCGGCAGGAATAAATAGAGAATAATATTATCCTTAACTAACGGCGAGGATAGGAAAAGATTCTTTATATAATAAAGATACCTCACATATACGAGTTTCAGGTTTTCAACTACTTTTAATTCTAATATAGTTTTTTATTAATTAATAAAGTCGGCCGTTTAAACTATTTTTCTATAAAAAAATATAATACTTAAAAAATAGTTTTATTATAATAAAAATAATTTATCCGTTTTTTAAATTTTTAATAAATAACTTTTATTTTTTAAAATTTTCTTTATATATTTTAATTATTTTTAAACCATAAAAATAGTTTATAATAACTTTATAATTTTTTTAATTATAATATTTTAAATATTTTATATATTTTTAATATAATATAATCCTTTTTATTTTATTACAACGTAATATTAATTCTTTAATTTATTTTTAAAATAAATATATTTAATCTTTTTAATATTAATATTGGTTTATGTAATCATAGGGTGATTTGTTCGATTGAACCGTAGTAACGAAGGGTTAATTACTTTTGTATTAATCTCTATATGAAGTAGAAAAGAGAGGTTTTAATTATGAATTAGATCGCCGGTTAAACGCTAATATAGAGACCCTTAGATGGCCCCTACGCTAGCGCTGACTCGAGGTCGAATTAGGCTTTTAATCCGATATTAATTATTTTTTTTATTATTAAACTTGTTGTTACGGCTAGCTAGTCGTAGTGAGGTTTATATTAATAAAAGTCGGGGCTACGATACTTATAAATAATAATCGTCGTTAAAATAGTTTTTAAAAAGCTATTATTTATAAGTCGTTAAGTAAAAAAGCTTTAGTAATTAATCGTAATTTTATTAATAAGGTTTTTAATAAAAATAATTAAAAACAACTATTAAATTTAATATAAGAATTAATTATTAAAAAAGCTATAAAAGTCTTATCCTTAAGCCCGGCTTAGGCTATTTATTACGATCGGCTAATCGTAATAAAGTTTATATTAACAAAATTCGTGGCTACGATACTCATAAATAATAATCGTCATAAAAATAACTTCAGAAAAGCTATTATCTATAAATCGTAAAATAAATAAGGCTTCGGTAATTAATCGTAATTTTATTAAATAAGTTCTTAATAAAAATAATTAAAAATAATCATAAGATCTAATACGAAATTAATTATTAAAAAAGCTATAGGAATCTATTTTTAAGCCTAACTTATAGCTATTTTATATATAAGTCCTAATCGTAAATATATCTTTTATTTATATATTTACTTAACGGTTCCTATATTTTTAAAATACAAGATCCGTTAAATTAAAAAGCGAACTCCGTATACTAAATATACAAAGTTCCTTATCAATTAAGACCCAAAGGGTTAAGTTTTAAAAAAAAAAAAAATTAATTTATAAAAGTCAAAAAAAATTAAAAATTAAAAAATAATTTTTATATAATTTAAATTAATATTAAATAAAATATTTAATTATATATAAAAAGTTAGTATTAATTTAAAATTTTAAAATTATAATTATTTAGAATTAATAATAATAAAAAATAAACTATAGCTTATTTTAATATTTTAAAGTTTTAATCGCTTTTAATCGATATTAATAATTAAAAGACCTATAGCTTACTTTAATAGCTTAAGGTTTTAATCGCTTCCGATCGATATTAATAATTAAAAAACCTATAGCTTATTTTAATAGCCTAAGGTTTTAATCGCTTTTAATTAATATTAGCGATCGAAAGACCTATAGCTTACCTTAATAGCCTAAGGTTTTAATTACTTTTAATTAATATTAACAATTAAAAGACCTTAGCGTTTAGAAACCTTTATTTACTTAACTTCAATAATATCCTTTATTTTAATCCCCTTTATAAAAGCTAATAATAATAACTTTATTATCTCCTTTTTAATTTTTCCTTTATAAATCTATTTTAAAGCTTTTATTATTTTAGGATTCTCCTTAACTAAAATCTTATCGATAATATTTACTTTTATTATTTTATATAAGTTATATAAAAATAATACCTTTTTAATTAAAAAACTATATATTAATTATATTTTCCTTTTTTTTAAAAACCTAATAACTTTACGTTTTTTCTTTTCTTTTAATTATTTATACTACGATTTAATATTTTTTAATAAGAATATTAATATTTTTAAACTAAGTATATTAATAAATATCCTAAAAATAGTAAATTAATAAATCGTATTAATAAACTTCTATTCGTTATTAAAGCCTAACTCTTTTATAAAATAATTAATTAAATAATTATTTACCCTTTTCCTTTAGTTTATAATAAACCTTTATTTTTTTAAAAAACTTTATAATTGTAATATTTTAGGCCTTCTTTTTTAATAAGTATTTTTTAAATTTATTTACTTTTTTTAAAGCTTATATTATTATATATATATACGTATTTAAGTAAAAGCCGTCCTTATCCCGATTAACTTATTAATAATATTTCCCTATTGCTTTATAAATAACGTTAATTAAGGGTATTACTATTTAATAAGCTTATTTACTAATCCCTTAACTTTTTAAATCGTATTATTTATTAAAAAAGTAATAATAGTATTATACTTAGTTAATAAATAATATAATCGTTTTTTAGACGTTGCTTTAAATATTTAACAAAATATTAACTCTTTAATATAATAATAATTATCCTTTTTTAACTTAATATCATCCCTACTTTTTAACTTTTTTATTATAATTTAAAATACCGCCTAAAATTATAAAATTTTCCTTAATATATTTATATTTTTTATTCGTTTTTTAAAAGTTTTAAGTATCTTAAGTATTTAAAGAGTAGCCGTTTTTATTAACTTAGACGGTTTATTTTTAATAAATAATCGCTTATTAATACTTTATTCTTTATTTTTTTTAATTATAATAATTTTAGACGTCTCCTCGGTCTTTATATCGCTATTAATATTATTTATTTTAATAGTTATATTATTTATAAATATATTTTTAAATTACTATCGTTTATAGTTTATAAATAAGATTACGATAAAGGTATTATTAATAAGCTAATAAGAATTTCTGTTCGACTAAGGTTTTAAATTCCTTTACTAATAATTTTTAATAATCTATTATATTTAACTTTCTATTTTTAATATATTAAAAGCCTATTTAAATAATAATTAGTATATATTTATAAATAACGTCCTAATTATAACCTAAATTATTTAAAAGTACCGCTAGCTTTATAATATAAATTATATATTTATTAGTTTTTTAAAAGCGGTCCGGGTCCTATTTAAATCTTAAGATTAATTAATAAAAACGATCGCTATTTTATAATAGCTTTAGTATTATAGCTTTTATTAATAAAAAAGCTTATTAATTTAATAATATAATAGTCGTTAACTAAGCTAAATTTAATAATATAATTTATAATTTTTTTACTATAAAACCTCTTTAAAAAGCCGGCTCTTTCTTAAATATTATATTATTAAAATATATAGTTTTTCGTTTTAAAATTATATTTAAAAGATTATAAAATAATAAAGGAAAATAAAAAGAAAAAAGACGAGAATATAAAGCTTAATATAAGCCTAGACTTATCGTTATAGCCTATATATTTTAAAACATTTATACTATTTAAATACGTTATTATTTTAAAAGATTATTTATAATAATTACGCTTTTTTATTTAAAATAAAGGTAATTATAAAAACTTTATTTAAGTTTTATAAAATTATATATCCGTAATAAGTCTTTTTTTATAAAACTCAAATAAGCTATTTTTATCTTTAGCTATTTAAATATATTTTTTATATTAACTATACTTAATTATTATTTTATTTAGTATTTAATATTTATAAACTAAAAAATAAAACGTTTATTTTTAAAAACTTTTTTAATTAAATAAAATAAAGGGGTCGGTAAGAATATATTTAGTTTTAAATATTAAATTTTAAATTTAAAAAGGTATCGATTCCCTTTTTATTAAGGTATTTATTAAGGCTAATATATATAATTAAAACCCCCCTATATTCTAACTAATAATAGCTTAGTATATTATAATAACGTAAACGTTATAAATTATATATATAAAAAGGCGATTAAAATTAAAAATATAAAAGAACTCTTTTTAATATTTTAATAAGAAATATAAATAAAAATAATAAAATAGTTAAGTTATTTTTTACGTTTTTTTTTATAGTTTAAGATTATATTTAAAATATAAAATAAGATAAATAAAGGAGAAAAATAAGACGTTATAATTTTAATAATTTAATATTTTAGCCCGACTTTATAATCGTAATATCGGGGTATAAAATAAAAAGTATAAAAAAATAAAAAAAAAAAAAAAAAAAAAAAAAAAAAAAAAAAAAAAAATAAAAAAAAAAAAAAAAAACAAAAAAAAAAAAAAAAATAAAAAAAAAAAAAAAAAAAAAAAAAAAAAAAAAAAAAAAAAAAAAAAAAAAAAAAAAAATAAAAAAAAAAACAAAAAAAAAAAAAAAAAAAAAAATTAAAAAAAAAAAAAAAAAAAAATATTTTTTTAATTAATAAAAAAAAAAAAAAAAAAAAAA